TTTAACGCCTCACATAACTCACGTCATACATAAGGAAAATAATTTAAAATTTAGGGAAAAAAACTTCTAAAACAAGGTATTTATCACCGCATTTAAAAAAATGTAATTCAAATTTTTGCATAGAACCTTTTTACAGCTATATATTAGTATATTTTGATAAAAAACACAAAAAAAGCAATTTCTCGCGTTACAGCAAATTATAATTCTATTTTAAATTAATTTCAACTTTTCGGAATTAAACGATGAACAACGATAATGCTTAAGAAATTCTCAGATTCTTTTAAGAAGAATTGGGCAAAAATAAAATGAAAACCTTTTTTTACAACTTTTATATGAAGTAGTTAAAAATGTACCATTAAAAAGATTTCCCTGGAAGTTTTCTCAACGATAACTAAAATCAAGTGCTTAGCAATTTATCCTACTTTAAAAAGAAATATTGCAATCTTTTTTCTTGCATTTTTAGTTTCAAAAGAAACGTTTTTACTTTATACTATCCTAGTGATTATTTTTCTTGCGAGAATTAAACAAGAACAAAAAGTATTTTTTATTATTTAAAAGCAATTTTAAGAATAATTTTAATAGTATAATAAGTAATTTTAAGAATTCATAGCACTTAGCTTAAAAAATAAACATGAACAAAGTTTTTTTAATTCTTAAAAGAAAAAATACCTTCCTAAATATCTTTAAAATTGTTTTACTTTAAGCTTTGTTTTAGTTTTATGATTAAACAAAAATCTCTCCTATTTTTTTTTAAAAATTCTTTTCATAAACTTGAACGGTAGAATTAAATAATTTTTTGTTTTAAAAAAGCAGTTGTCTGGGAAGATTAGAAATTTCAAATAACACATTTTATTTAGTTTTTACTCAAAAGAAAATAAATAAATATACATTTTAGATAAATAAATAAATATAATATTTAGATAAATAAATAAATATTTAGATTATAATAAGTAATAAATAAATAAATATTAGAAAAAATTTAGGTAAATAAATAAATATTAGAAAAAATTTAGATAAATAAATATACATTTTAGAAAATAAATAAATTTACATAAAATTACATATTAATTATAAATATACATTAATTCTTATTTAAAATTAAGTCTTAAGATTCTAAGTGTTACTTTGTAGGTTAATTTTGAGCAGCACATCTAGAAAAATGATGATTCTGTATGCTCTATCGTAAGGGTATTCAACTTTTTACATTTTGTGGAGATCTTTGCGTCCATCGTTTTCTTTAAGGAACTTCTTGATCCATGAGCAGAAAAAAGCAGAATATCAAGGCTTTATCCTACTCTAATTTCCAAAATTATTACTGCATGAAGCAATTAATTATAATTAAATTGGAAATTCTGGAAAAATTTCCTTAATATATGGTAATTATATTTCAGGTAAAAAAAAAACGTAATTCTACTGATTAAAGCAAAAATATATAATTCATTCGGTAATTTTTTCACAATATGGTAACCGTTTGCAGAGAATTCTGTCTTGAAAATTTTAGTTCTTATTACCACGAATTTAGTAAAAAAATGCAAAAAGGATCAATAAATTTTTATGCAATGTTCCGAGGTCTTATAAAATTACTAAAGTTTGCCTAATATAATAGTAATAAGTAAATGCAAAACTGAAAAGTAAATTTAACCACATAATGGTTTTTATATCATGCTTTCAATGCTTGGTATCATGATAAAATTACCAAAATTTTACCACTTTTACCAAATTTTATCACATTAGCCGTATAACCACATTTTATTGCTATTTTTACCAAACTCATTATCAAACTCGTTACCAAACTGCTTCTATAAAAAAAAACTAACTTTTTTTTTTGTTCCCATGGAGTCAGAAACTCAATAAATTTTACCATATCCTGGTTGTTTTGACCAAACTTTTTTTCATTGTGTGAATCTTTATTTTATTACCATGCAAACTACTTAATAAGATTATAATTGACAATGCAGCTAATGTTTTTTATTTGAAAATACACTTTATATGAATAATAAACAAAAGCAATGTCATTTATTACAAATTAATAAAAAGAAATTTTTAATTACTTGGCTGTGATTGTTTTTTATTGTTAAATATTTTTAAAGCCTAGAATAATTGTCGAAATCTGCAACCTGATGTCATCTTTAGCATCGAATCCGTTTATGTATTTTTTTTTTGTCGCAACTTAAAGCGAAAACATTTTCGCATAAATAAGTAACACATGAGGTAAGGTGTTTCGCAACTCCTATGGTAATTTCAGGATATTCTAATGTAAATCTAAAATGCATAATATCAACTTGACCTTATTTTAGTTCAATTGAGTATGAGTCGATATTTCAATTTGTTGTTCTTTTTTTTATTGGGAGAGGGAATATCTCACAATATTGAAAAGGATTTGGATCCAAGTATTTTTCGTTATGAGCAGTTGTCTTTATATGTTAAAATCTTTAAACAGAAATAGGGAGAAAAAAAATCTTCTTTTCTCCCTGGAATTTGATTGAGCATTGATTGAGTAAATAGTATCCATTTACGGAACCCCTGTCAAAGCTCCAGGAAAACCATGTAGAAGACATTTAATCTAAAATCAGAGTTAAATGAAACCTATAGAACTACACCCAATACATCAGGTATAGCTGAATGAACTTTATCCCAACCTGGGGGTCACGAAATTAAAAGTAATATACACATTTAATCTGACTCAGAACAAACAACAACAACAAAAAATTTTCGGAATTCCGGTTCAAGTTATTGTTGTAATACTGTTAACATTTTGTATTCAAATAATGGGTTTGCAATTAATGAGCCGGTCGATGAAATTCCTATAATTAATGGTTGATAATTAATGAGCGATGGCCGGTCGATACAAATTCCGCACCCGGTTCGCACAGACAGCAGTGCTGGCATAAAATATTCTCAGTGGTAAATGGATCATGGGTTAGAGTCCCCTTGCCATCGTGCTAACCGTGGGAGGTTTTCATGACTTTCTTCTCCATGTAATGTAAATACGGGTCAGTTCCATCAAAAAGTCCTCCACGAAGACAACTTTCTCCCAATACTTTGATCCAGAAGTTCCCTTATCTTCTAGATTGGGTTCAAAATTACATGGTTACGGAGTTGAACATTAGTAGTCATAAACTCAAAATTGTGTCTGCTGTTCAAAGATGGTCATAAAATGAAATGTCTTCTTAAAAGCCGTGATGACTTAGCAGAAGACAGAGGAGATCATGGAAGACGGATCATGGATTAGAATCTCTTTCTAAGCAGGCTAGCCAAGAGAAGTTTTCGTAGTTTTCCATCCCTTTTAACACTAATAAGGATGAGTTTCGATCAAATAGTTCTCCTCGAAGATGAGTTTGTCCCAATACTTAATCAACGAATTTACTCTTCTTCTGGGTTGGGATCAAAATTAAAAGACTACAGAGTTGGGCACTGATAAAGCAGCTAACCGAATATAGAACGGCTGTTTAACTTCGGTGATAACAGAAGTACACCCATAAATTTAAATTACTCAATAAAATAATCATATAAGTTACAAGTAATAAAAAAATTTATTAAAATATTTGTTTCAAAAATATTTATTCACTATTTACAATAATTCAATTTGTTCATTTATATATAATGGTAAGTGTAGTAAGTAGTTAAAAAAGTATTTTTCATTAACCACATTTGCATTTATAGTTTATGCCTAAAATTCTTAAATCATGGCTACATTGTTAGTAATCTTTTAAAAGATAAAAAAATTATATTTTACTTAATATTTTATTTAAATTTTAAAGAACTTTTTTTTTATTGATTACAATCAATAATGGAATATTCTCACACAAGAATTTTTAGAACCTCCTATCAAATATTTTCTTTCTTTTTTCCTTATTTATACAGCATTTCAAGAAGTTTAAAATGCACGTTAACTACATGTAAAACACTAAGCAGCATTTTTGTAAGTTTTCTGCTCGTTGTGCAATCCATGTCTTCTCTTGAGAATTTAATATGCATAGATTTTAAATACTCAAATATTGTGTTTAGGATTGTTTAAATAAAAATCTATGAAAACAGCACCACATATTACCCTCTCAATATAATTTACTTGAAAAAAAATGATTCAACCACAAAATTAAGGCATTTAATGACATGATAAAAGTTATAAAAAACTGAAACATTTATGTGCTTTTTACTTTAAGCATTTTTATTTATTTTTTAAAGCGTGAAAAACTACATAAACATCAAAATTTGCTTTTCAGAACTATTTCTTGCTTTAAGCTAATTAATAATGTCCATAATTCTTTGTATCTTCAGACAATACACAGCTCAATAATAGAACAGACGATTTTAACCACTCAATTCAATAAATACTTAAACTACACATATTTGTTCGATTATTTGTTTATCATAAACCTGATTGTGTCACCTTGAACATTTAATTTGGCTTTCCTTCTCGAAAGGCATTATCTGTTAGAAATACAACAGTAAAGAATAAAACTATCATATATTTTCATGTATATCATATATTAAAACCATCCGATACATTTGATATTTACAATTGAAGACTTAGCACACTCTATGTAAGTTATTATAACGTACATGGAATATGCTAAGACTATTATTCTGTACAGTTTCTTTATGGCTGTTTTTAAGTACTTTACATATACTGTACTAGCTCGTAGCTCACACTGATTATTTCCTTGTAGTTGATAATTCAAGCCTTTTTATAAATTTTCTTCTCTTTTCTCTTTTATCACAACCTATTCTCAATTTCTAATAACCTTTTATCAATTCTAACAACCATACTTTTCCATTTATCGTGCAATTAAATAATTTGCTTTAAAAACTCGTTATTAAAATAGTTTTTGCACGGCAAATATAAACTTATCTTGTGAATATAATGAATTTACAAATATCTTAAATAATCAGGTGAAAACAAATCCTTCTTTTAAAAATATTTCATTTATCGTCTTTAAAAATGATGAGTAACATTTACATTTATTTATTTCTATTCGTGTAGTTTTGAATTTAATATTCATAATTGAAAGACTATTGTAAGAATTATTTTATAGTATTTACCTTATAAGTTTTTTTTTTTTGTTACATACAATACAATTTGCATTTTAAATTTAAAATGCTCATACTAATGAACTAGGTCAGCTTTCAAGTTTCAAACCCAATAAATAATCACACATCAATTCATAACATCATTATTCATAAATTAAATTAGGAAACAGAACACAAAGTGGATCTTTCATTTACTACAGTCAATAAATAACTTGAAACTTATTTCGATTATTATACGCTCTTAAGTATATATCACGTTGACCGATATAGCAATATAGTCAGGTCTCTAAAAGCTAATCGAATATAGCACTGTTTTGAATGGGTAACACAACTGCCCCAGTTTCTTCCTACAATGCAATGCCACGTAGGATGATACATTTGGTCGAAGTCCTGTTTTATACTCTCTGCTATATGCTTCTCTGTACTGTATAGCTTGATAGCCTGTGTGGCGCTAATAACGGCATATCTCTGCATTTCTATTGGCATATCAGCTGCTTGAATCTTCAAGTCTATGTGATCTTCATCATAGGTGGACCCAGTAACAGACCCGTGACGACTTCTATCTCCTCTACTGGGGAAAGAAGCTCCACTTCTTTTCGAACTGGAAGAGAAATCAACAATTATGTTGTTTTGTTTGTCTTATGTATGTATTCATCATAATATAACTATGAAACATCATTCCTTTCTTGATACCCATTATTATTTCTTGATACCCCGAATTAATGCCTTAATACCGATTGTTTATCTAAACAAATCACAGGGTATACTTTGCACTACTAAGACGAAAGCAGAAAACAACGTGAATTAAACACAAGTTAAGTACAGAAATGGACATATTATAATTTCGATTCTATAAGCAAGTATTCCTCAGTGTTTAAACACCAATTAAATTGGTGTTTAAACACCAAGGAACGTTTTTGTTTGTTCTTAAAGGTTGCTGTCATGTTTGGCAATGCTACTTTATGTTTTGATTATCTTGTAAAATATTTTTTGTTTATTTTCAGATAACTTTGTTTATGTTCTAATATCTTCGCTTACATACTGATTTTTATTTTTTTGCTTATGTTATATTTATGTTTAGGCTAAGATCGTATAGAAGTATTATTGCATTGTTCGTATTACAAAGAAGTACTATTTATTTTAAAATTTATGTTGTGATATCCTTTCATCCTTTTATCCTTTCATTTTTTTAATCCTTAATTCTGTGTTCACATATTTTGTTAACGTTTTGTTTTATTTTCAGATTCTATATACGTTTTTTCAGCATAGTTGTCAAGTTTGTTTAAAGACTTATCATACCTTACAACTAGATTTAGAATACCTTCATCATACAAACTTGTCGCCTGCTCCGTTAGCCAAGAGGTCACGGCCTTTTTCACGTATTCGTCATTCTTGTAGTGATTGCAGGCAAAATGATGCTTTGAAGTAACGGAAAAGATAAAAATCATTTAGAGCAAGGTCAGGGTCTAAGGAAGATTGGTCCAAAACTTCCTTACCGAAAGAGTTCAATAAAGCTGGGATCTGAGCTGCGAAGAGAATCACTGTCATAGAGAAGCAAAATTCCCAGTCAGCATAGCAGGGAATTTTGTTACTTCACAAATCAAATACTCTCAGTCTTGCGTGCATAGATGGAGCACCATAGAACTGCTCTTAACGCAAAAAAAATCTCCCATTTCATCCTACAACAGATGACACCACTAGTTAAACTATTTAACTCATATTCCACTTGACAAAACACAAGTCAACCACAACCTTATTATAATGTCTCGTAAAGAAAAGCCTTACATAACCTAACTCTAATGCCCAGTTTAATTTCATTTTAAAGGTTTCGAAAGCACGCTATTTGTAAATGAATACAAAATTGAGCAATTTTATAATCATGGTTTTTTCAACCATACCAGTTGTGAACGGTTTCAAACCCATAAAGCTAATGGCATTATCCTAAACGTAAACTTTACGGTTGATGGGATGATAAAACTACTGCCGGTTATTTTACCCTGGTTTTAGACTGAAATTTATAACAGAGTGGATCACTTACTATTTTCCCATTAGAGGCTTTGGCGTGAAATCATCAAGAATTTTAAGTCTCTCAATTCTGGTTGAGGATGAAGTATCGGAATCACCAGTCACTTGCTCTGGAAGAAGAAAAAACTATAATAGTTAATTTGCATTCAATAAAAAACGTTTAAATACAACCTTTTTTTTTTCTTTAATTTTCATGAATAATTCCAGCATTCAAACAATCAAGCATATAATTAATTATGTTTAACTAAACTTCTGTAAAAGTAGGATGTTTTTACAACCATAAAGAAAATTAGCTAACCTTAGTATTATTTCACTGAAAAATATCGAGAATTTGAATATTTAAAAAAATAATAATAATAATAAAATTTAGAAATACGAATAAATCTGTTTTTTTTTCTTCACTTCATGATGTGCTCTAAAAAAATTTTGTTACTCAGAATATCTTTGATAAATGAAAATTTTATTTCAATTTTTAACATAGAACAATGAATTAATTTTGTTTCTGCTACACTTTAGGTTTCTTTACCGACTAACTCCATACCTGTTACCCACTTTTGGCAAAAACAGTTACTAATCTTGAAAATTGTATATAATTTCAGTTTTTCGCAATTATCAAATATTCCTGTACTCCTTAAATACATCTAATAAACTATACTTACTTAGATTATCTTAGTATCTTTATAATTAAGCATAATATAATTTTTAATGTCGTGGTCTCTTGAAAAGGTATTTTATTTTACTTTATAACCGTCGTTGAACAGCCGAATCAATTCTTGGGGTTTACTACTATTAATGTTCAACTCAGCAGCCTTGTAATTTTAAACCAAATCCAGAGGACAAGGAAACTCCTGGATCAAGTATTGGGAGAAATTTGCCATCGTGGGTGACTTTTTGATGGAACCAACCCGTATCCACGTTTCATGGAGAGGAAAAACATGAAAACCTCCCATGGTTACCCCGACGGCAAAAAGACTCTAACTAATGATCTGTCTACCACTGAGAATATTTTACGTCAGCATTGTGATCCTTGCACGCCGGATGCGGAACTTGCATCGATTAGCCATCGTTGGGGATTCGAACCCTGTTCCCCTCAATGGAAGGCGAACGCTCTATCCCCTGAGCCATCACGGCCCTTGAAAAAGTATTGACATATTTAAATTAATGCATTTTTTTTTCTTTCTAAAACCAGATAATTATCTGTTTAATCCCCAAACATTAAGGAGGGGGGGACAAAAGTAAAATGCACATTAATAATAGTTTTACAGTAAGAAAACTTCATCGAACTGAATCGAAATGTTAATTATCCAATCCTGTGTGATTCGTAAAATATCTGATACTCAAACGAAAGTTATGATTTTTGCAACGATAATTGAACCATTATTTAAACGATTATTGCAACTTAAAATAATTGCTAATATTATTTTACTTGATAAGATATGATAATTCCTTATTTTGAAAGAGTCTTTCGCTCACAAACCTATATGATAATTTCGCATTCAGTTTTGTTTCTTGATGATTAACAGAATATGACATCAGAAATAAATTTTATTCAATTAAAAGATTCCCTTTTTTTCATGTATCAAAGTAGATTCACTTTTCAATTCTATTAAAAAATCATTTGAAACTAATAGTTTTGCTGAACTAACATTTCAATCTAATCCCCTAACTCATTTCATAGTTCTTAAGCAACTTAAAAGTCGTTTAAAAAAAACACTAATTTTCTAATTTTCGGCTATTACAAAAACTCATCAAAATTTTTTTACCCATGGATCATTTAGCAAAAGTGCAAATATTTCATTTCCGGAATTTCTTTACAATTTTAAAACTTTGTATTTAATTACTTGTTGGATATGCTGAGTCGACGCAGATATACAGTAAAAACACAATCTTAATAATATATTACAAAAATTTATGTAATTTATAGGAAAGTTAACAAAATTGATTAAGAAATAAACATAACTTATTTATTAGTAAGTAATTTAAAACAGAAACTGAATGTTTTAATCATAAAATATTGCGTGTATTGTATGATCATGTTATAAATTTTCTTAATATTATAATAGAAGATTATTACTTTTAATTTTAAGCCTCTAAATTTAAATGAAAATCAAAATTAAAAACTTAATGAAAGTATATAATAATACGCAGAAAGAGTAATAAATATTTAATACTCTTAAAATATAAAACATGGAACTTACTGTGTTCATAAAGATCCACGTTTCCGTTTTTGGCTTTTTTATAGTATGAAAATACGCACACAACACTGTATATCTAAAATAAAATAGTTTTTTTATCACTCAGATATACGATAAGAGGTATTTTTTAAGGGGGGAAATAACACAAAAGTATGTACTATTTTGTCCTAATTTCTGTCAAAATTAATGCCCTATATGTTTGCTTGAAATCTTAACTAAATAGTTTCTGGAAGTAGGTAATTTTGTGCATTAACATTAAAAAAAAATACAAAGAGAGATTTACAGATATATCAATTTGAAATAATAAAAAGAAACTGTTTGTTTAAGGGAAGCGAAAAAAAAACAGCATAAAAACAACGAAAGGTTGTATTTAAAATTGTTTGTTTTTTATTTTTATTATTTGTAACATATTCTTTTGCTTGCGTGGATTAATATATCTCTTTGCATAGAGTTTAGAAAACTGTTTTGATTAACAGTTGATTATGATTGACAGTTTGATTATGAATAGCTGCTGCAAGCAATGGACTATACGTACTTTTAATTCATTTTTATTGAACAGTATGACTACGTTACGTTAACTACAGGTAGCAAGGTTTAGGTTACCCTTATCTAAAGATTAGGGCAACACCATAATGCCTTTTAAGCTATTCAACATTGAATAGAATAGACGAGAGAGGGCAGCACCATACATCATTATGAGATTGTATTTTAGTCGTTGAATAGTATTGCACCTAAATAGTAATAACACCCTAATAACACCCAAAATAGGATTGCACATGACGAAATTATGTTCTTTCATTTATAAATAATAAATATCTAATGTATGGAATTAATTATAGATATCTAAATATCTATAATTAATTCCATTGAGAAATATAAATGTTCACCGTTTGGCTGAGAAGTGTAAAAAAGGAGAATAACACATTCATATATTTAGATTTCAACATGAATTTCAGCATGAAATTGCATTCGTAATATAAATGCTAAAAATATCATTTCACTTTTATTACTTTATTAAAGATACAAATTTTCAACATGCTATTAATAAAATTAAATTAATATGATTTTCAAAATTAATTCCAAGATTCTAGAATAAAATTAATTTTTAAAAATTGTTTCAGGAAATCCTTTTCTAAATACTATATACTACGGAGATATTTTCTTTCACATAAAAATGACAAGAATTTACTATGGATAAATTGCATAAAATAAATAAATTTTAAAACAAGTAACCTTACCCTTAATCCAGTGAGAAAACCAACAACAATTATGACTAAGATATCGATGCTTCCACAACTTGACTAAAAGAAAATTATCATTCCTTTTATTGCCATAGGAAATGTATAAGAAAAAATTGAGAAAATAATAATAATCGAAGAGCAAAGAAATAAAAGTATCGACTTAAGAAAATATTTAGTGCTGCCATCTATATTATAAATGCAAACCAAACTTCACATCTCTAAATTTAACAAAGTTTAGATTTAAACTGAACTACAATTAACCTAAACAAACTTGCAATAAAAATGTTTAAAATTACGTAAGTATTAAAAGGCAAGAATTTAAAAGAAAAATTAATTTTGAGAATTTGAAATGAAAATTGTTTTATTAAATCGTTATGAAAACCTATTTTTTAATAAATTTAACTACATTTATTTAAATAAGGATAAAAGCTATTTAAAACGATAAAAAATAGAAACATGGGAATATAAAATAATACCTGTATGCTAAATAGTCGCAATGCAGCATAGGCGGCTAGTTGATCGAATTCTAATGAAGGAATAGGTTTTCGCATATCTTGCGGAAATAGGTGGTCTTTACGAATATACTGAAAAAGAAAACATTTCAGTTAATCAACAATTCAGTTTCATTAATAAAAAAAATTATTTTCTCGATAATAACCACTCTAAAAGTTAAATGAAAAAATCAGACAAGGAAACTTTTTGTAAATTAAAGTAATTTTGAAGAAAATATAATCAACTCACATAAATATTTCCAAACATTTTGTAAGCAAAAATTATACATAATGCAGTTACTTTAAATACAGTTTCTACATTCGCGGTCTCGATAACTTCAAATTTCCTTCGATTTTATGAAAAAAAATAACAATGTTCTACTAATTGTGTTTTTATTACATATAAGTTTTTTTTCTAATTGAGGAGATAATTTAAGAATAATTAGTAATAAACCAGAAATTTGAAGAATTATTTTTTTCTATGCGCAGTTTTTAAAAAACACTTACGTGCAGCTTAAACTACATCAATAATATGCAAGAGTTTAATTTGTAATTAATTTGGAGAAAATCTCTATCTTTCGAGTATGACGACATGAATTTTTTTCCGCAGGTAATCTTACGTCATCATCCATATATGGGTTTTCTTTATTAACTAATATATATAAAATTCAAATCATACATACAGAGATTTAAAAATAAATTTATTTCAGAAGTTAAAAATATTATTTATTTAGTAACTCTTTTATTTCGTAATCATCTCAACTCAACTTTAGTAACTATTTCTCTCAATATGTTAACTTCAAGGAAACCAATTTTCTCATGGCATCAGAAGTATTAAAGTAGTATACGTCAAAAACTATGCATTGCTTTAGAATGACATTACTTTTTTTACGTCAACCAAACTTTTCAGTGCTTAAATTTTTAAAACAAAAACATTCTTGGTTAAAAAAAAGTTTTAAAAAAATTGTAATATTTTAAAACAGGTTCTTTACATTTTTGTTAAAATTAAATTTGAAGTTGTATATTTAAAGAATAAAACTAAATTTCAATGCTGATTTTTGAGTTACTGTCATTATTCCTGCGTTTAAAGTTAAATTAAATTAAATTAAATTAAATTAAATTAAATTAAATTAAATTAAATTAAACTTTTTTACCATAATAATTCGCAAGAGAATAAATCCAGTACTTGCTGCAACGTCCACAGCAGCAAATACTGCCAGTAGTAAAACTGTTCTTAACGAAACTCCTCCCTAAAACAAAATTAAAATAATAATAATCAAAATGCATCATTAAAATAATAAACATAAAACACTGTTAAATATACGAAAAGTTTTTGAAATAAAAACTGAAAACCTTCATTATTTAAATCTAAAATGAAAATTTTTTGACTTAATTTATATACAATTTATTTAATTACTTCGGAACACTGAGAAATACGTGACGACAGGCCCATTCAATTCATAATTTTGTTATTATTTCTTGGATAAACTAAATTTTTATACAGTTCTAAAAGGTTCTAAACTTTTTTATAAAATCAATTGCTCTTAGAGTTACTTGCTTTAACCCTTTAACGCTGATGGGACACCGGACTCCCTTTTATATATAGTTTTTCTAACACTCTAATTGCAAGCAAAAATCTATTTTAGTATTTTTTTAATTGTAACAAACATTCTAATAATTATAAAAAAAATCTGTTAGATTATGGAAATTAAATTTGTACTAAAATATAAAATATTAAAAAAGTAGCATGAAATTTTTTTTCTTTCATATTCAAAATGTATCAATAATTGATTTGTAAAATAAGAAATTAATGTTTCTCTTATACCTAAATAACTGAAGATTATTGCAAATTTCATAAATTATTGCTTAGAAGATTTTACCTGTAACGCAGAAAGGGACACCCGTGTTTCTTGCTGTATTTCATCTAACCATAAATTATTAAAATGCTAAATATTAAATGTTTCACTTATTTTGATCAAAATTGATACAAAGAAATGAAAATATTTGAAAAAGTTGCTTAATAACAATTCTACGTCAAAGGGATAATTCCCTGATTTAGATAATCGATTTTAATTTGTTTCTTTTGAATCATATCCTTCTTGATCAAAACATCCACCACGTTAGTAACAGAAGATATCATAAAACAACAGCATAACATACAGTGCGGCTTTGAGGAGAACTTCTCCAGACAAAAAGTGTGACGCTGTCTGCTGCTATGGTAACGAGCGAGAGCACATTTCTAATGGGGATGCAATGAGGAATTGAAGGTGTCGATTGATTTACTCATGCTGACCTATACCAAGATCAAGACAAAACTATCCCCCCACACCCCTATTCGAAGTGACTTTTCCTCGTAACCATTGTACCCGCCACGACGCGAGACTGGTGTCTGGGGGAGTTCTTCTGAAAGCCGCACTATACATCTGATTTGAAATGCATATTTCTACTCACATCAGATCGAGCTTGTTTGATCGCAAAAGCCATCCACCACCAACTGAGAATAAATATGCCAACAAACACAATACTCAATATGAGTGTCATCCTCGCTGCGTCCAGTTCCCCTAAAATATTTTAAAAACATGAACTTTAAAATACTTAACAAAAATAGGTCTAAGAATTCGCAAAATGCAATTGCATACGCATTGTTGCTACAGATTTTCTGAAGCTTTTTAGAAACATATGTAGCAGTCGAAAATAGGTGCCTATTTCCAAGACTTGCCAGACGTGAATGAGAAGAAACCAAAGTGATTTGAAATAAAAAACACCTGCTCATTCATTATTTCTTCTTATTTACGTCTGGAAAGTCTTGAAAATGGACGCCTATTTTTGAGCACTTGAAACTTGTCCTTTCCTGTCTATATATTTTTCAAGTTAATGAAGTCTTAAGTAATATCTTACCGCTTCAAATACTTGGTATTATTTATTTGATATGTACAAATCCTTAAAAATTAAATTTACTAAAAAAACATAGACCTAACACCTCGTAAAATATAATAATATTTGCTATTTTATTCAAATTTTCAGAAAATAAGATTAATTTTATACCTAACTCAATTCGAAGTTTCTTCAATTCAGTTTCTAAAATAGAATATTAGATCAATTTTAAGATCATTTTACAGACGTAAGAGTTATATTTAAATACGTTAATGCATGTTAAAGCATGCATAATTACATTTTAAATTACTGATGCTTTAAAATATTTCAAAGTTTAGAAGAATAACGGTTTGATTTCGTTTGTATAAAAACAGATGTTGACTTAATGAAATTTTAAAATGAAGAAAAAATTTAAATGGAAACTGAAACTGATACCATTGGTTTCAATACCATAAACATGACAAAAACAGAAAATTTTTAAGTTTTTTTTTTCTTTTTAATCAAAGCAGTTTTATACTTTGTTTTAATTTCAGAAAATGTAAGTCAATTAAAAGGTGGCGTTACAAAAACGAAATAGACTTCGTGCGTTTTATAGATATGCTATTGCATAAAAACAATGTTAAATAACATTTTTACTTTAAATGAAAAAAACTTGTATTTACCAGTTTTAAAGCCAAACCAATCAAATGTCCGTTTTCAATATAAATGGCAGAAAAAATAGAATTCAATTAAATTAATTTAAAATACTACTAATGATATGCAATTAAATTAAAATACTACTAATGATATATTACTGTTGATGTATCGAACATCTTCTCTGAATGCCAAAAGGGTTCTTTGTGCATGCTCTGTAAGCATCGGTGGCTTTTGCCTCTGACTGGAAGCACTCGATGTCTTGATGGGCATCGACACACTCTCCTTGAACCATGTGTTGAGTATGACTTGTAAGAAGCTGGCTTCTTTATCCACCTGATGAAGGCGACTCCCCAGGATTATTAGAGCCACAAAAGACAACCCCTAGGAAAGAAAAAACAAATATTACTAAGAATAAACTCATATATTAAGCTGATGCAATGTTTATGATAACCTCAAGAGCTCGTGATGTAACAATAAAATTTAAAAATATAAAAGCTTTCAGGAATTAAAGTGCACCATTATGTTAGATTAATAGAATTCTTTGAAAATTTACTTGTCAAATTTGGAACTATTTAAAAAAAATAACTCCGAGTTTTATTGAGTTGCTTAAAGTGGGTTTTGTAATTTAGTTACGGAAGATAAACAATTTTGTCAAGTTTCAGCGTAGAACTGTAACTAAATCAACTGCTCGAAAGGGCAACTATAAATCTTTCCTGAGTTTCTAACTTAGGGCAATAATATTTTTTAAAATGGTTACTGATTCGAGACTAACTTTCGAAATCAAATAAAATATGTAATACAAATAAACAGATATAAGAGATACATTAAGTGACAAATAAAATTATGTTGTTGATTCTGATGACACTCGGACAAGCCAAGATCACCTGCCATTTACATTTTCGCTAATTAAGTCAGGGAGGTGCGCCTTTGGTTTCACAAGAGAGCACCGCAAGAGTGAAAGTATATATTAGCTCAGAACCCCACGGATAGATGGCAGCACCACTCATTCATGAGGTCACTTCCTCAATTTAGACATAGATCTAAAGGGAATTCCCCAGATCCCTAAGCTCATGGTGCTGCACAGCGACCGACCACCAATAGGGGTTCACAAGCGCGTATATCTTATGTAGTCAGAATAAAATATAGAAAACAGTTACAAATGTTGAGTTTTAACAGTTTACAGTTTTCAACAGTTACAAAAGTTCGATGTGTGATGCTTTTGTTACACGGCAAACATCTAATGTGTATCTAATTTCATACCACGCACGTTATAGTTTATGCTATATACGGTTTGTAATGCTTCAAATATAAGTTTTTTTAGGTACTTGCTGTGTTTCTGGCATTGGTGGTTTATAAATAGTGACTGAAGTGTAAGGATAAATGATCAAATGGCTGCTAAGATCCCCGAATCTTACGCCAGGTGTCAAAAACACTATTTATGAACCACTAATGAAAAAACACCACATACATTTCAATAACGCATGCGTGCAGCATTAAATATCATTAAAAATGCGGAATTGCAAAATGCGTGGAACGAACTTAATAATAGATTGAATGTTTTACCTATAATAAAAGGCAACCATGTTAAAAATTTGACATAGCTTGGTATAATTTTATTCCACTCATTTTATTCTCGGAATTTTAACAAAATGTTCCGAATTTCGCACTATACTTAAATTTCATCAAGTTTGCGATCGATTCAATTTAATCGGATTCATATATCTTTCGTTAGAAATTCGGGAAAGCAATTAACATGATTAGGAGAGTTACCACCCAAAGACATGGACTTACTAAATAATCCTTTTCTAACTATTTCAGGGGTAAAATTAAATAAATCCAACTTTCTGGACTTAGACCAACTAACTTGGAGAAACTAATCCTTATTCTGAATGGCATAGAACTTATGTATCTATCATGGCTACTTTTCCTTAGAGGGAATAACATTTTTCAGTAAGTTTGACATAACACATCAGCTACATCGAAAATCAACCAACAGCTCTTCTAGTGTTAGGTAACAATTGCTTCTTAATAATACATTAAAGTAGTTACAGATCCCTTTTTTAATTTCAAACAAAACAAAAATATATTTAGATTCGCGTTCGATTTGATTTAAATAGACACAAAAATCATTCGTAAAAAGTTTGGGGAAAGCAAAACAACTCCACCCGAACAAAAATCGATTTTATACGTTATTCCTTTTCTAACAATGGATCTAATTTTATAGTCTTGGATCCCATATTTATTAAAGAAAGATGAAGATTATTAAAGACTGAAAATGTTCCCAAATTTTAATATGTGTCCTCAAATGTCCTCGAATTTTTACAAAAACGCATAATATTTTTTATGCAGGAAAATATCAAAAAAATTAAAAATGGGCGTGTTTTTTCTAAACAAGATAATTTTGTCTTACAGAGAATACAAGCCAGAAGCAAAGAAGCGTTTTAAAAATAAAATTAACAGATGAAAACTCCAGGTTCAGCTTAAAAGAGTTTCACCAAAAAATTCAATAAATTTTAATAACTATAAACTCATATATTTTACGTGTGTTCAATTTCTGAAATTTCTAAACAATTCAATTTCTAAACTGCTTAGTAATATCATCTTTAAAGGAGATGGTTCTGCATCTGACATTAGTTATTAATTTTCTTTTTTAAATCTTTGTTGAACATTGAAATTAATATTTTTCATAAATATATGGGTGTCATCATATCGTAACATTTTTCAAGGACGATCCTATTTGTTTATAAGTCTCGTAGCCTTACCCTAAATTGAGTCATAATATATCATTTTATATTTGAGTTGTATTATTTCATGACTGCTTTTCCTGACAGCGAATAACTAGTTTCATTAATTTTGACTGGAATTAAATCAGCTCATTGGAAAAGGCAAATGAAAAGCTTCCTTGTGCTTTCAGAACTGTGTAGCAACAATTTTTCACCGATAAGTTTTAGTTACAGATATTTAACTTTCTCTTTGAACTAAACTAAAATATATACTTTAGTTATATTTTCCACTTGTGTCCTACTTGATTTAATCAGACGTAAGAATCAAACGTAGCAGTTTGGAAAAAACAAAACCCCTAATAAGGAAACGTCTCCACCCAAAAAGATGGATTTTCTATATTAATCCTTCTCTAACAATGGATCTAATTTTCTTGTCTTGGATCCCATATTTATTAAAGAAAGATAACCCTCACCCTGAATGATATTGAGCTATAGACTATGTCTATTTTTCCTTACAGCAAACAACTAGTTTCAGTATTTTTGACTAGAATTAAATCACCGAATTCGAAAATGTGAATGAAAAGCTTCCTTGTGCTTCCAGAGTTGGACAACAACAGTTTTTTTTTCTTTTTTTCTTTTGCCAATAAATTTTGAAAATAGTTACAGATCTTTTACTTGCTCTTTGAACCAAACTATGATATATACTTTAATTATATTTTACATTCGTGTGCTATTTGATTTAATCAGTCACAAGAATCATTCATTAGAGATTTGTGAAGGCAATTACCATAATGAGGAGATGTCACCTCCCAAACAGATGGACTTTCTAAATTAATCCTTCTCTAACAATGGATCCATCTTCCCTCATTCTACATCCAGTTGAAAGTCAGATTTGAATCTTTTCAGCTCTGTGTATTAGACCGAAACATTGCTAAACAACATTCTAAGAACGGTCAACCGTAACCGAAGTTTATAGCTATGCAAAATGCTGGACACCTTTGAAAAATCTCTTAAATGTTGTTTTAATGTCAGTATAACGCATCGCCTCTGCAAACAACCTTAACCTAGTTATATTTCTTGCATCAAATTGTGTTACATTACGAACATATAATAATTCGTTTACCAAATTCTCATTTCTGTAAACAAAATAAGCTATTGTATACAGTTTAAAAATCTTTTTTGCAAAATCTTAACTGGAAGTGGTATTATTTTTTTATTTAATTATCTTAGAAATCAAAAAGTTGGTCATTTTATATCACTATTGAAAAATGTCTACGATTTCCTTAATGGCATTAGGTAAAAGTTTAAGTTTGAAAATCAAATGCTTTAATTCTACGTTTAATGCATATCTTATTATGTTAAATAGTTCGTTAACTCACAATATCCCTTAAAAAATTTACTTATCAGTAAGTATAAAGTTTATCACATTTAAAAAAATGGATATTTTCTTTCCTAAACTACAACATATGAGAATTAAATGAATTTTTTCGAAATAATGTAATAGAAAATAGAAAAGTAAAAATAAACCTGATTGTATTAGTGTTTGGATATCTCGATCTTTCACGTATCTTTTTAAAACAATTTCCTCAGATATAAAAAATATATATATCCATCGATATTTTTTTCTAACTTACTATAAATAAGGATAAAAACTGTTTTTACTTCATTTTAAATTTTTTCCAAACCATATTAAAATAAAGTTATTCAGTTATTTCGAATTCTAAACTTACTTTTACTCTAATCTTTGCTTTTAAAATCGGTACCGACAACAAATAAAACTAACTCAAGTGTTTCTTTTTCCTGCAAAAATTTTAAAAAAACATGCCCTTACCTTGATCATTTTTTTTAAAACCATTGCAACTTTTGCATTATTTGTGATTAAAAATTAATTTTAAAGCTATTTTTTAAACCATTGCTTTATTTAATTTTCGAAGTATAAAGAATCTATTCGAAGATAACATCAAAAAATTATGTACTTAAAAAATATTTTTTGTCTAACGATAATTATTAAAAGCTCTTTCATCAATGCCGTAAACCTCAGAAAACACTTCTTGTTTTTTCTTCGCATAACTACGATGCTCATTTCAAGTATATTTTTTTAAAAGAAAGCTATTTTTAAGCTACTACAGTACTTAAAATTACTTTGATATTGCAATTAATCTCCTTCTTATTAAACAAATATTTAAAGCTATTCAAAAAGCCTATATGAGTAGTAAACATGATCAATACCAAAAAGAATTATTTTTTTAATTAAATAATAATTTTATTTAGTTTCGCCATTTAAAAGTATGAAGGAATAAAACTAGTTTGCAAAAAAATTTTGAAGATTGATTCTTACAATTGTGCTATAAGTAAATCATCAAAATGAAAAACGTAATCTTTGATTTTTACTTTAACACTCTAATACTTTGCATTAATTCATTGAGTTTTTTATTAGTTCATTAATGTATTTAAAAATGAATGTTAAAAAATTAACTAATTAGATTTACAATAAGAACTACTAATTAGATTTACAATAAGAAGAATAGACTACAATAATTCATTATTTTTATGAAACTAATATAAAATTAATATTAATTTTTTATGGTATTTTGTGCAGCCATCTACTGATAACTTTAGAAAAGATTTGTTTACATAAATGTGAATAACAGTAAAGGT